AGTGATGAGGATTACGACGATACGAAGACTAATGGATGAACGATGAAGCGAGCGTGCATGCGAGCGAGCGAGCGAGCCAGAAAAAAAACAAATATTACAATACCCCTCTTTTTGGCCGAAAAAGTATTTACTATTTTGCTTGGTGTATCTTTTTACTCTTTTTTCCCCTTGACATTCTTCTAATGTTGTGTTACTTGGGATTATTGCTAGGATTGGTTCGATGGGAGGGGAGTGGAATAAGCTGGGGATGAGAGGAATTATCAAAAAAGTATGGTTTTGTGGATTGATGGATTGATGGAAAGAAAAATGGATGATTTGTTACAAGTGAGATGGACTTTGAGGTTCGATCGTTTAGGGGCCTGGGATGAGATCAGAACTTTTAGGTTCGTGGTTTTATAGATACCTAGATATCTAGGTATACACAGAGAATGACATGCAAGTGAAGAGAAGTGGAGAATGAATTCATGATTTAAGAATGTTTTTTTTTTTTTTTTGTGAATTTAGCTGTGAGTTTTGTGATTGTGTTGTCGTAAGATCTGGCTGGGCCAGGCTCTGCTACAGCTACAGCATGTTTCGTTCGTCCGTCTGGTGGTCACAAGACTTGTTTCAAGCAAACGATGCGAGTTCAACACCTCTCGAACAGATGGATGTTGGGGGAAGTTGCTGATTCCTTATTATTGTGTGATCATCCACACCCTGCGGACTAGAATGTATGCATGCGTATATATATATATATGTGCTAACCACCCTTGGGTATACCCTACTGACCAAACGCCTCCATCTACTATTCCATGCCATGCCATTCAAAGCAAATATCTAATCTCACTCGTGAGATCAAGCCTATATACCGAATTCTTTATTCCCCATCATGACGAGAAACGCTAGCTTCCTAAACTCGCAATCATTGTGGTGTATTCTCCTCGCCAGGCGCCAAAACCTTAACGCTTCTTCTCCTTTCAACCACAGGACCACTACCAGCGCCTCCTCCACCAAAGCCCAATGCAACTCTCACGCCCTCTACCGCGCGACTCTGGCCCACCTCCCTGACATCCCTCCTAACGCTCTTTCCTCTATCCCATCTACCCATACCTGCAAGACCTGGCCCGGCAGTGCGTTCCTTAACCTCTCTCTCCAACTCCCTGGCCCTCCTCTCCTTCCTTTCCTCTACCAATTCGTCCCTCCACTTTCCCTCCAAGCAAGGATGCATACAGCCCTCTAACGGGCATATCCCCCCACTGAATCTGTCACCCTGATCGCCATGCCATTCTCCCATGCAAGCTGTATGACCACCGTGTCCACAGCCACCACAATACCACCACGTCTGTGGCCCCTGACTACCCGGGACGTCATCCCCATGCTGACAAATCGGACAAGCCATGATGGGATTGCGACAACGGGGACAGGACCATTCGGAGCCAGGGACGAGCGGGTCATTTTCAAGAGGTTTGTTACACTCTGTACAGTAGAAACCGATACTGACTTGTTCCTGTGTAGACGCAAAAATCGAAGAGTAGAGCGGGACGCACAGATTTCGGAGGAGAGTTGCTTCGTAGCAGAGTTGCATACTCATAAGTCGATGGTTGTATTGGCGGAGGATGGCTTCAGCATGGATTGGATCAATGACGTCAGGAGGAAGGAGACGTCGCAGGAGGAGGACCATTGCAGCTGCGTTCAAAGCGCCAGTTTGGGTTTCGAATTCGATAGCGCGCTGAACAAGAGTGGTGGGGTTTAGTGGAGGAATAACAAATTCGGTGTCATCATCGCTGGGCCAAGGAAGGAAATCCGTTTCGATGAGGTTTGGATCGGAGGAAACGGTTTCAGAGGCGGGTTCAATTGTCTTCGGTGTTGGAGGAACTTTGCGATGAGTTTGGACTGGCGAAGTAATCTTCGGGGCTGGAACTACAATTTTTGGCACTGCTTCAGATGTATTCTCAATGGATTCTTCGGATGGGCGAGAATTGAGACTCGATGTACCCTTGGAATGTCCAGCAACATTGCCTTCCCAACTAGAAACTCTCTCTCGCAAAGATTCATCTCTCCTCACACTATGAGCATCACTATCCGAACCCCCACCAAGGTATTTGGACTGGGAATCATTTGATGTTGAAAACATCTGAAAACTTTCCCCAGAATCATGGCGAATGAGACCCATTCTCTGAGCGTAACTATTTTGCTCCGAATAGTCTAAACGAAGAGGCTGTTTCTTAGGCGGAACAAAATCGACGGCTGGTTTGAAAGCATCCATACCATAAAAGTCATAACCTTCTACACTTGATGTTGTCTGGTCAGAGGTAAAACTACCAGTCACTGGTACAGGTATCGGCTCACGAACTGTCGAGGTGACGGGTGGTGGAAGTACCAACGTGTCATTTTCTACCATTGGTGTATTTATCGCTTCCGACATTTCTGCAATAGAATCCATAACAGGGCGCACAAGTGGTGTTGTCACGTTCGAAGTGCTTTCAATCTCATCCGCAATGATTGATCTCACCGCCGGATGAAGGGCCACTTCATTCGAGGTAGCAGGGCGTTGATTCTTTCGGGGGGTCTTTTCATTTGACTCATCAAGTTCATCAACCTTCGTAGAACTATCGATAAGTTTTGGTCCCGAATCTTTGCGCGAGAGATTCTGTAGTCTGTGCTGGCGATGAAACTCCGCACGTCTAACTAGTAAAAGATCCATCGTGAAACCAAGGAGTCTCCATGTTTGAGCCAGCCGATAGTATCTTGCGTACTCGGCACCTTTAGCAAAGTGTTCTATAGTTGTTGAAATGGTGACATTCAAAGGAGTGCTATCGGCTGCCTCAATGGCGTCCTTCGTCAAATATTCCAAATAACATCTAGACATATATTGGTATTTCGCACGCTTTGGCGTCGAGGGAACATGGCCAATAGCCATGACTTGTTGGGGCTTATAAACACCGGTAATTTGTACAGCGTCTTCTAGTCTCATCACTCTGCTGTCGGCCATTCCTGTTGGATTTGGTGGAGTAGTGCTCAGGTTCTGTGTCAGTCGTCCACTATGCTGTCCTCGATGATGCTTTCGTCTTCTTGGACCTAAAAAACTGCCAACAACATCCTCCTCGGAGTCACTATGACTTATAGCAAAAGATGGAGCATTCGAGTGCTGCTGAGAGCTCGAAGATAACTCTGGAGAATTAATAGAAGGCCGAACGCGTTTAGGAGCTTGTCTTTCCTCCATTAACATCAATACATCACCTGTAGGAGAGAAAGAAAATGTTGATAAACTTCTACGATCGATAACTTTTGGTGAAAATGCGACATCTGTTTGCACAAAGTGACCGTCTTTATCAACGCTCCACAAAAGATCTCGAGTGCTCCAGAGTATGCCCGTGGGCGCGCTATTTGACACCTCAATTTCTTTGAATGGCATGGCAGACCTTGCGATATCCCACAGATGTACCGTCGAAAATTGGGCTCTATTGGCGCTGGTGTCATCATAAGAAACAGCAACTTGGGCAACTCTCTTCCCCTGACCCGTGGCTGTCCAACAAGCAGGTCTCCAACAGACGTTCGATATGGGCGCGGGTGTGGTGAAGGAATATCGAGGCCTTTGACCCCTCTCCGACTTTGACATATCCCACACATGACATTGCTGGTCTTTGCCTCCACTTATAATATGATCTCCATCCGGGTGCCATGAAATGGAAAACACAGCACTATTGTGAGCGGTTATCTTCATAATGGGAGCAGATGACTTCCTGAAGTCCCATTTCTGTAAGATCCCAGCATCCGTGGAGCAAGCAAACTCCATGCCATCCGTTGGCGACCATTTCACATCTCTGACAGCATCTGCGTTACATTTATAAGTAGCCACACTTCGACGCGTGTCACGCAAATCGAAACACTTGACCGTTCCATCTTGACTGGCTGACAAAAACCAATTCCCCTTGAATGAATTGATCGCAAGTTTATGAACCTGTCGAGGGTGTTCCTGAATTCGCGCAAGCTCGAATCCTTCTCCTCCTGCGCGATTGAGGTCATAGACCGTTATCCTTCCATTTCCACCTGCTGTAACTATCGTAGAGCTGAATTGCGTATGAGACCATCGAACGGCCCTAATATTAAGTTGGTCTGAGGTAGCTGCCGTACCATCTTGCCCTGTGGGATATGCAGATATCGAGGTGCGAAGATCAATATCCTCTGTAATTTTCGACCCTTCTGTCTTGACGATCTTGAAGACTTTCGGTCCAGCTATAACGGCGCGCGAACCATCCGGGGCGCGACCAAGACATGAAAGTGGTGCGCCGGCTGAATAGACGGTACCCTGTGAAGCAGTCGGTCGGAGTTGAGGCGAGTCATTGTTGATGTCGGAAGCCTCGACAGTAGTAGCAGTTTGTCCAAGTAATTTCCTCATCATCTTTCCTTTGTTCATGTTTGCAGGTTATAAACGTATGTCCTCAAGGAGGCATCCTAAATTCGATACCGAGCAACATTTGAGTAGTGAATAAAATGACAGTATTACCCAGGTAGGAGGTAGGTATCCAGCATATTAGGTTCTTTCAAACCTTTTGGACCTTGAAATGGTGCTGAAACTGCCGACCCAAAAAGTTACTAGGCTCACCGCCCGAGGAATGTTTCCAATGAACACAAACACAACCAAACACAACAAGACACAACACCAAAACAATGCATCATCTTGAGCATCTTCCCGTATGTCAATTATTCCGTATATGCCCGTTTTTTATCTTCGTATCTTCGTATTGGCTTGAGAACTTTTTATCTTCTGGACACTACAGTAATTGTGTTACAACATTACGGTGCTTCCTGTCTCCAATGAAGATATACGCTTTGGTGACATCTCATGAAGCACCTCACAAAAGGGGGCTATTGCAGTCTCGATGATCAACGGCTAGCTATAAAAATATAATATGCCCATGTGCATTTTGTAACCCGACAAATACTATCTTTGACTTCCTTTTTGTCTCCTCTTTATTTTACAAGACCTTACTCATACATCACTTACAGTGTACTTCTACCTACCAAACCATTGGAGAATATGGTGGAGTCAAGATCAACTCGACATCATTTTGCGTACTCGCTACCTCGGAGTATTCTTGAATTCTCTCCAGTTCTTGTCTCCAATTTCCGACAATAAATTGAGCATCTAGATAGTCTTTGGGGGCTCCTCGTGCGGCCATCACATCCAGTTTGCTCCGCAACAAGTACAGAACATCTAAAGCTTTGAGAGCTATCTGATGTCCTGATGGACTGGGTACCACGAGAGTTTGTTGATGATTTCGTATATCTCGCGGAGTACCATTTGATCCTAGTTGATTTGTTAATACTCATTGCAAGATGAAATCTCATGAGATATTTACCGGGTGCAATTAACTCTACCTCGACGAGTCTTGTTTCTGAACATCCATCGTAATTTGGACCAGTCTTGACAAATATTTTCATTACATCTGCAACAAGTCGGGATTGAGGAATTACCAATCTATTAATGTCAGAGTAAGTTTGAAAGTCGAATGCTCATGGCAAGTTACCTGCTCTCTGGCTCAATAATTTGCCATATATTCTTCATTGAAGTGTCCACCACTATATCAATATTATTTGTATCACGAGCGCTGCCACAGCACTTAAGGGCAAATGCTCCCATTAAAGCATAATCGATATTCCCCCTTTCTAACAGCCGAATAACGAACTCAGCTGCTGAGATGAGATTATTAATGTGCGGACTGAGTTCCAGCTCATCGTCCGAGTCGTAGTCGACTATATTATATCTCGAAGCCATTTGCGAGTTTTATGTCGAAGGATTCAAAGGATTTTAAGAAGAAAAAAGGCTATCAGAAAAAGATTGAGATGACTCCCCAAGCGATGAAATTTGACTGGAGGGAATAGCTGGTAAATGTGTCAAACATCCGCCATTTCATGCATTCGATTTGATGGAGGTCGGGGAGAGATCTTTCTTATCATATAATCCAACAAGATCTGAATCTGAGTCAATCGCAAGTTTAAGGCAGGGCAGATGACCTTTTTTTCTTCGGCTTTGAAGGAGGTCAAACTTCGACAAAGCTTCTTCGCTTTGCTATCAGGCAGGTAGGCTAGGAGGTTCTCTAATTGCCTAGTAAAGCTGCCCCTTCTGGACAAGAACCTCGATAATATTTTGCCTCTATGGATTTTCTGCAGCCTGTCACCTGTATTCCATGCGTTGTATATTACCGCTTTAGTTTGTTTTGCAAAACGTGCAATCATTACTCACCTCCTGCTCAAATATCTAGCAATGATCAAATCGTCGGCACAGTTATTACTGTTCTTGATGAATGCAAAATACTTTGATATCATTGTAAATCACTTTTTACTCAACCGAAAATCGTAGGATCAACTCGTCGTTGGAGTGGTCGTGGCTACCAACAGCCACACCATGCGGTCCACCAAGATTACGCGCGATCCTACTACATATCCAACCACAGCCACAACATTGTCAAACTTGTCACCTTCTGTTGGTTTCAAACCGACCAAAGCTTTTGCCTGTGTAGAATTGTGTTAATGAATGGGTTTAATTGAGTGTCGCGTGCATTTCAGCGTTCAAAGACGCCATCTTCTGCTGGCCCGCCAATCTTGAGCCCCAAATCAAAAAGGCATCTTTTGCAGGTCTGGATTCTAGACCTTACGCATAATTCTAGTGTGGTCATTACAAAATTCTGCAGTAACCACAAACCCATATAATGGTTATGACCAAGGCCGGAGTCCTATCTTTTCACCAAAGAGATAATGCAAGCATTCCCCCAACTCCCCTTCCAGCATCTTTCATGCTTCCCTGTTCCAACTTTGATCGAATATCGATGATGTTTACTTCAGGTTGATTTACTCTTGTTTCATTGATGAGCGAGAAATACTTTCAGTGCCACGTTTATTTATGTTTTCATACAAAAGTCGACCCCCGGATACAAATTTCAGAGACAGGTAAATGTGGCTGGCTCGGCCTGCTGTCAAAGTGTTGTGGAAAAGTCACCAGAAGAAAAAGCGCCGAAAGAAGAACAATCCAAATTATTCTGCTTCAAAGAAACAACCTAAAAGCAGTCGAAATCGCTGGTGGTCAGGCAAGGGACAAGATAGCCCTCGAGATCAAAGATGGTGGTCAGAGGCAGGGGCAAAGATAACTCCAGAAGAAAAAGCAATGGAGATGAGAAGTTTAGCAGACAAAGCATCGAGATTGAGGAGACAAGATGCAGAATTTGCCAAGGAAAAGGAACGATTTGAGGAAAAAGCCTACGTCGCCAAAAATGACCAGAGAGAAGCTGCAGAAGTGTTAAGAGATAAGCACAGGGATGTGAAAAGAGAAGAGTCTGAGTTGAGGATGCGTGAATCGGAATTAAGAAGGGAGAAATCTCAATTGAGAGCAAAATATGCAGCAATTCGAGCTAAAGAAGAGAAAGTCGAAGATGAAAAGGCGTCAATTCGAGAAGAGAAGAGAAACCTTCGACTTGCAAGGGAAAGATTGATGGAGTATAGTGAAAGAGTAAGAGAAACAATCGATAGGGTGGTGGATTATGTAGGTGGGTACCATGAAGAAGACGAGAAGTTGCCGACGAAGCAACTGTGGATTCGACGAATACTGTTCATGGTTACTGGCTTTCCTATTATTGGCTTATATTGTAAGTCCAAGTGAACCACTTTATCAATCAGCATACGAGAGAGATTGCTAATAAATGTGCAGTCTTCGTTTTGACGGGATGCATGGCCAATAACGTAATCTCCCGAGCCTTCTTTACCATCAACGTATTTAGCGGCGCATCTGACGAATTTATCGTCCCGAATTTTCGAGTTGGCTATTTTGGTACGTATACGCTCTACACACATGCATATATATCTCAACCCATACTGACCCAACCCCAGGAGTCTGCGCTATCATTCCTAGCACAGGCAAAGATGTCTGCACACCGAATTTTCCCTACGGTCGAACCGCCAGCAGCGCCGCCGCCATCGTGCAAGCCGCGCTCTTCAAAGGAAGCACCGACACGTCTACCGCGGAAAACATCGAACTCGCCGTCGGCATTCAACAAAAACTTCTCCCTCTAATCCTCATACCTTTCTTTGCTTTCAGCATTGGCGTCCTCTGGACGATCTGGACTCTCCCAACCTCTAAAATGGCATCCGCGATATTGCAGTGGAGCGCGGGTAACATGATGAGTGCAGCGGGCAGTATCAGTACTGCTGGGGGAGCCATCCAGTTTGTCACGAGTAGGAACACGGGACAGCAGATTAGTAGGGGGGTGCCGTTGCAGATTGGACAGTATGTGATTGCGTTGGGGGTGTTTGGGGTTTGCGGCTATGGTGGGGTATATTGATAAGAGGGGGAGGAGGAAGGCGCACGAGGGATTCAAAATGCAGTTCCAGGTGGAGGGATTTAAAGCGTAATAAAGGGGTTGGGTGAATGGTGAGTGGTGTAGGAATTTCAGGGGTTGTGGTAATGAGTCTGGGTTCTTGTAAGTTAATTGTTGGATATTCTTTTTATGGATGGAGGAGGAGCACTGCATTTTCTTTGTTCTTTTTCTTTCTTTCGATGGAGGAGATTTGGTATTTGTATTTGTATTTGCATTCGATGAGTAGTCTAGTTTGATTGGTTTCTTTTGAGTCTGCTTTTGCTTGCATCTATAGTCCGTATTCCTGTTACAAAATGTATCGGGTAGATTACCTTTCGATACCTACATACATTAATTTTCGCACATCTTCTCTGCTTATGTATTACTCATATACATAATCCAAGTCTTCCCATACATCTCTCTCACTCGATCTCATAGGTAAGCATTTACAACACTGCGCTTCTCACCACACACCGAATGTTTCTACCGTTAGGTGTTCTTCAGAGTTCAAGAGAGTTCAAATCTTGAGGTGGATATTGAAGATATGTAGTAGAAATATATATGTTCACTTATTTACTCTGAGTAATATACATACATACATACATATATATACATAATGACGAATCACACGAGTGAATAGGGAATGAGATGCATACAAGTTCACTTTTTTACTCTAAGTAACATATATATATATATACATAACGAATTACACTAATAAATAGGGAATGAGATATACAGCAAGAATGTAGAGAGAAAGGGTGAATGTGATATATATGTATGGTGGCGAGAAAGAAAGGTATGTACCTATGTAGAAGCAAGGAAGGAAGGAAGGTGCAGGCATGATGTGAGGTACTAGGGAACTTCTTTCTTGGAGAGATCTCTGATGTGATGTATACAATATGTACCTGCATCTAAGATGTCAAGTGTAAAGTAAATCGAAGATGAAGAAGATGATGATGAAAAAGAGAGCATATAACTACCTATCAAAGTATCGCATATTTGATATCATATACCAACTCGAAGATACTACCTAGTAGGTACTTAGACAACCAACAGAGTAATCGCCGATTCATCAGCATAGGTAGGCAAGTATACATCACATAAACCAACAAATTAGTCAATCAAACTATCAGAATCGTAGCATCAATTAATTCGATCCTCATTTCCCCTTGAAACAATTCACAATTCAGAATTCATCACGATTCACGATGAATCGATGAATTGATGTCGATGTCAAAATCAAACCATAAACCCCGTGACCCCTTCCCTCAATTCCATCACCATCACCATCACCATCACCATCACCATTACCCGATCCACCCACAAGCGAACAAACCAAACAAACAAACAAAGCATCGAAAAAGCATCGACCCATCGAATCGAATCGATCCTCCCTCCTTCCCTCCATCTCCCCCTAAATCTCGATGTTCGTCCACATCCGGAATCCGAGGTCGTTACACAAAAATCCATTACTAGGGAATAGGTATCCATCGACCCAAAATCAGTCATCAGTCATTAGTCATCAATCAGGCCAGCCAGGCATCAATGATTCAAAAGTCCCACCTACCTGAGCCTACCTAATAATAATCCCATCTTCCAACCACCAGCGTCATCGGCATCTCATCTCATTTCATCGCATCTCATCTCATTTCATTTCATCGCATCTCAACCATCATCATCCATCCATCCATCCATCCATCCATCCATCCATCCATCCATCCATCCATCCATCCATCCATCCATCCATCCATCCATCCATCCATCCATCCCTCCAATCCTCATCATATCCTACGATGAAATGAATACCCGGTCCAAGAAAACCCCCAATGATGCCATCACGATGCAATCCATCCCCCTCATCAGCATTTAATTATTTTACATCGACGATGTCAGACATGCAACAAAACTAATTTCCCCCTCCCCCTATTCCCCTATTCCCAGATTTCTTCAAATGTGCCTTGGAAAACATACCCCAATTCAGAATTCAAAATTCAATCGAAATTCACAAATTCACAAAAAGAATCCCACAATCTCATCTCAAGCCCATGAATTCAAAATCGCGATGCCGATACTGACTAAGCAATCATCTCTCTCCCCCAATAAACACGTCGCGATCCTCGCTTCCTTCCCCCCGGGGCATTTCCGTCAAAGAGGATCTGAAAGAAATGCGCTGCATCGAGAATTCGTCGGGTGGGTTTGGTTGAATACATACATCCCTTATGTATCTACCCTATGTATCGATGTATATACGTACCCTCCCATCCATCGAAAAGGATATCATGACAAAAACAAGATCGCGATGCATCTTTTCCAGACATGCAACAAATGCCACACCCAGTGAAAAAATCAAGGACGAGCATTTCTTTTGTTGCATGTCTGTATTTCTATCATCGCGATGGGAGATTGGTTTGATGTCTGGCTTTTTTTATTACTTACTTACTTACTTGCTTACTATCTATCTATCTATCTATTTACACAAGTACCTACCTACCATCTCATGAATCAAATCAATGAACATGGGGATTCAAGCATTATTAGACATTGAGGCTAATCATTTACCTGAGACGTTGGAATTAGTTCGGTTCAATAGGTACGTACTTACGTACATATGTATAGACAGAAGGCTTGTCTCAGCCTTATGAGTGTACGACATACAATACAGTACATGCATGTATTGCAGATGATATACTTATATTGAAGATGATATACTTACTCGATTGCACAGACGAGTATTATACAACGATTCACACATTACCACTATGGTGATGCGGTCCAATTGTGCGTATTTGTAGAATCTCAAAGTCAATCTCTTCATCATGTGGAATGGATGTATTTATTGACCATCACAGAAACATGATTCGGATTTGGATACCGCTTGATTGGGCTCGAGGGGAAAAGGGGTTGAGCTCATGAACACGACGAACTAATACGCTTTACACGTTATCATATCGACATGCTTATACCTCCCTAACCAGGGCTATCTAAAAAACCACTTTGTGCATCCATTCACGTTATTTATTGATATAGCATATCTGGAAATTCTCATCTAGTATCGATCAAAGACAAATCACCTACTTTCATTCCAGGTAAGTACCTATTTGACCAGTAGCCCTACCCACCTGTTGCGCAATGCGATATCCATAGCATCTATACCACTGATCGTTCTACGAGCACAAGACATGATAGATTGTAGATCCCAAGTAAGTGCTGACGAGTCTCCCATCTCGTATCCCGCCTATACCCGGAGCATACTGAAAGATGTAGAACCACGCCGAAACCGAGCAAAAGATCTCTTCTCTACTTTACACAAACATTTGCTTCGCAAGAGCCCGGTCTGTGCTTGCGATAAGCAACAAAACAACATGTCGAAGGGTTTTCACCATGTGACTTATCTGTGTAGATGGATGTTTCGCCAAAGCATGTCAACGCAACCAGTGCATCGAGAAAGGTGTTGGAAGCATCGCGAGAACACGAGGGTGTGAAGAAGACACAAGACGACAAACCTGTTCACCTCTGTACAAACAACTCTTCAACAATGCGGTCTGTGCTCTAGACATGCAACAAAACCACATGGCAACAATATGGGTAGTATGTGATCCGTGCTTGACATATGCAACCATGATCTCGAGTCTTACTCAGCTACTGGGAGAGGAAGGGATATTGAGTAAATTGGGAGTTTCTTAATAGAGCATCGAGGTAACGCTTGGTGCATGAAGAGAGGCACCAGATGCCGCGCATCAGGGAAGGTAAATGACTTGAAGCAAGAGATATTGATTGGCATTCAAAAATTGAACAGTACTCGAATGAATTTTGTAAGGGTGCAATAAACACAAAGAAAGTACTTTCACTATGTGATTGGGTGACGAGTGTGATGAAACTTCAAATAGAGAGACTTATCGTCTAGCTAGTGAGGCTGATGTTGTAGATAACCGGAAAATAGATAATGTGCACAAAGGCCAATGACAAGAAGCAAGGTCTGCAAAGAAAATGCAAAATGGTTCAGATGGGGCAGATGAACATACTTTTATGTTTACACATTTTCACTACCCACGACTTCTCCCCTCAAAATTTCCTTTTCTTTTTAGCTGGCGCCTTACTTTTTGCTTCCAATTCCTTCTTTAAAATCGCTCTCTTCTTATCAGCCCGTTCCTCAGAAGTTTCCCTTGGTGGTGGGGTTTTTTCTCTTGATTTCTCCATCTCCTCTGTCGTTAGTGCTCTTCCCCTTCCTCTGTTCACTTCGTCAGGGATATCTTCTTCCTGACTAGCGCCCTCGATAACGGTCTTCTTCCCGCCGATCGTACCCAGCTTCTTCTTCGGCGATACTGAACTCTGAGAGTCGATGTCAGGTATTGATGCTGTCTCCTTTTTCTTTCCGCCTATTTTGCCGAGCATGCCTCTTTTAGGTCGCACCTTAATAGCCTCAGGTTCAACAATTGGCTCCGGCTCCGGCTCCGACTCCGGTTCTGGAGAAGCTTTCTTTCCGCCTATCTTCCCAAGCTTGCCCTTCTGCTTTGCTGGCGAAGCTTTCGGAGTCTGCTGTCGTTTTGGTGGTGGAGGGGATGGGGCATCATCATCCGTGGTATCATTATCATTATCATTATTATTAATTGCATTCGTAGAGTGTAAACTGTCTGGTATAGGCCCTTCATCTTCAGTGGTATCATCTGCGTTTTCACTTGGAGGAGTTGGTGTTGGAACTTTGCGTTTTGTACCCAGTTTAACAAGGGGTTTCACTCTTGGCGGGCTTGGGCTTAGAGTTCGATCGGGACTTGGTGCGCGAGCTTGCGAAATAGACAGATTATCTGGTACTCTTGAACGCTGGGATGGAGCATCGAGATCATCATCATCATCATCATCTGTAGAATCATCCATTGAAACATCAGGCTTCGCCCTAGTCCTCGAGAGGTGAGGTGGTGTTGATTGTACTTGAAAATCATCCTCGTGTTGTGTATGTTCTTGTTGAGTACTTCTCCATGATGAACCCGTTGCGTTTGTCGCAAGCTTACTCCCTAACGTACCGACCGTCTTGCCCTGCATATGCTCCCACCAATTGTGTTTCCGATCCTCTTTGCCGAGACTATCCGCCTTGGAGATATTTGGACTTATGTCATTGCCACCAAAAACATTGTTCAATAACTCCCACTTATCGTCCGGTTTATCAGATCCCGGCTTCTGCTTCCAAGCTTCTACGTCGAAAATCCTCAATCCTTGAATCTTCTCACTCGCCTTCTTCCTGTCAATTTTCTTTCCAGGCCTTCCTGCAACCTGATGGAATATTGTACCTAGGTCGGTCCCTTGATTCTCCAAAGTATCCACCAATTTCTGTATAACCGCATCTTTCTCCTCAAGCAGCTCCACTAGCTCCCCGACTTCTTTTTTCTTTTCTTGTAGCGCGATTAAACTCGGAAGAAGCAACTTGTCGACTGTTTCTGTTGACGTTTGTAAGGCCAATTCGTAACGCCATTCTAAGTCCTTCAATCCACCAGGTAGTTGAGTCGTAACATGGAGAAGCAGACTTGGTGAGATATCTCCAATTTCCGGCCCGACTTGCAGAGACAGACTAGTATCATTTCCTCCTGCAAGACCAAGTCCGATCTTTTCGAGAAATATCGATAACTGGTCCTCATCCTCACTTGGATCGATACTGGTATTCCCTTCTCTGCTTCGTTCGATTATCGCATCGCGATCTACACTTTCGACCCACGTATTCGTTAAATCGGTCAGTTGAACTAGGTATGAATCATTGTTGAATTTGGATGAGATGAGAAAGGGGGGTGGTTGTGCGCCAACAGAGTTAGAAAGTTTGAGAGGTCTCCAGGCGGCCATTTTCGCAGTTGTATTATTGGATTGTCGTAAAGCTACAGGTTAGCTCTTCAAATGACGCGACACGGTCGCAATTGAAAAAGAATCATCGATGCTACAGCAAGGAAGTTAATGTATTAACATAAAATGTTTTTACCCGGTGTTTTGACATAAAACTTATCAAAGAGTGTGTAAGGTGATGCTGCCTTGAGAGTTGAAATCTAAGTTCTTAGCTACCAGGCAATATTCACGAGTAGTTTACGCCGGGAATAACTCTGAGAAATTGTTCTTATTCCCAGACGATGGAACTTTTTCAATTTGGCGCTAAATTCATGGAGGTGGTTGGTTGTAAATTGGACATTGTTTTTTCAGATATGCAACAAATCGATTCAATGGTCTTAATCACGTGCCCAGTAACCGCTTCCCGGCAGAAAGTTGGTCATTGAATCCAATCTTCAAGGTTAACTTATAATTCTGAAACTCAAGTACATGTACAAGAGACGCTGAGCCCCAAAGTTTTGGATTCGTTGTTTATTATACAGAGCATCATAACCACATTTATTCCGCTTTCAACATAGCACAGAAAACCCTTCTCTATCGTTTCGAGCGCAGCGAGGTCTGGGGGGTTTGGGGGCTTGCCCCCATTTGAAGAAAGATTGAAGGAGAAAAAGTGTATTTATTATATATCTGATAATGGATATCTAACAGATCAAACTTTTTTCCTCTTTTTATGTTAAATTCTTCTTAGAAGCAAAATTGCATATGTTGGAGCATGCAAAGCATTCCGTGAACAATTGAATCTAAGGAGCAGTACTTCTTTGTTTCAATCGCAACATCATCGCATCTGCCCCCCTCAGCATTATTTACCGCCTCTATTGAAAAGTATTTCGATAGACTCTGTTTCAGTTACATCGTGCGCGAAAGCCATCTTTCTTGGTTTCGTTGAGATCGAAAAATCCGTGATGAGAAAGTGGCTTGATTTTGCTATCTCATGTCATGATAACACAACACAGACTATGGGCATAAACGGCATGATTGCACCATATAATGTTGCATACCTCCATACAGTCCAGTGGTACCACCGCGCGCTTTGTTAGAATGATATGAAAGTCATGCAAGTAACTCTGAGGTAGCAGTCCTTCTCGTATTACGCCTGGCGAACAACACAAAGTGAACAAGACAGAATTGCAAAGATAGAATCGAGTCGCCAGTAGATTACGAGTGTATGCTCTGGAAATGTTGACACTAGTCTTTGGGGTATAAGCTGATTGACTAAGGTATATATAGAGGATACTTGCATGAACCCAACGGATTATCAGAGCGGGAATTTGCTGTTGATGGTTACCCACATACTCCAAACTATTTTCCCCCTATAATATCTTGTCCTTTATATTCGTATATTCTATCAATTTTGTTTACGCTTACAGCCTCAAAACATGCAAATCGTATTTTTTGTTTCATATACCAACTTCCCGTCCATCACAGCATACAAAAATTCCTATTGTTCCAATTTCACTAGGTCAATGCCCCTCTTTCTCCTTCCTTACACTCTTCCACTCCAATCCACAGGCAGCCAGAAAACCCCCAATAGCACAGGCCGTCGAAACCCAAAATGTCGCCCTCAACCCCTCCGCATACGCCTCCAATACCTTCTCCAATTGTCCCTCCTGCCCCCATGTTTCTAATAGCGCCCTAATCTCCGTAACCCCACTATCCAAGAATGCCCTCGCATCTAACCCTGGGACCCTCTCCTCAACCCCCTCTACCAACTTATTTTGAAACAGGGTCTGCGAAACCGGCACAAAGACCGCCCCACCCAGCGTCATAAACAACGAAACACAAGATATAGCCACCGGAATCCGCTTGTTTGACATCACTGTCTGCGCGACAATAATCCCGCTCTCGAACCCAACGCCCACACCCAGGCCGGTAAGAACCTGAAACCCTGCGTTCCGCGCATATGACGTGGTGACCGACAGCGTGGTTAGTAGCCCAGAGCCAATGGCAAATAACACCATGCAGATGAGCATGATTGGGGTGTAGTACCCGAGTGCGGAGATCGCAGCCCCGGTTCCGGTGGAACTGACCGTGCATGCGAGGAGTAAGGGGAGCATTTGGATTCCAGCGTGCAGGGCCGAGGAGCCTTTGACGCTTTGGAAATATACCGGGAGGTAGTAGGAGAGACTGAAGAAACCAGCACCGAAAAATGCGGAGAATGCGAATGCGCATACAGTGTTCCGGTTTTGGAAGAGGTATGGAGGGAGGGTTCCGGCCTCGCCGAGCCGGATTTGCGTGCATATGAATAGGAGGGTGAGAATAGCTGAGGTGACGAAGAGGCCGATAATGTGGCCGCTGTTCCAAGGGTAAGTAGAGCCACCCCATTGGAGAGGGAGGAGGAGACAGATTATGGCAGGAATGAGGAGGGAGGCACCGAGGAGGTCGAGCTTTAAGATGCGTTGTTTGAGGGTAAGAGAGGAGGGATTATTGGGGCGGTTGATGTGAAGGATGAGAGATATTACAGCGACACAGAAGGCTCCGATGGGAGGCTATGGCGGGGAGGGGGAGTTAGCTGGCGTTTGTTGAGGTTCTGGACTTTGGGGTAGGGGGTATTGATATTCTTACTTGATGTAGAAACACCAGCGCCAGGAAAGCTTATCGCTATTTGAGAAGGTCAGTGGGTCTATAGATGCTATGTCTGTAAATGGGAGACTTGCGTAAAGACGCCGCCGAGCAATGGTCCGGCGACTGATGCTATTCCCCACATACTACTAATTATACCCATTGCCAGTGGCCTCTTACGCAGCGGTACTTCTTAAGTCAGTTCTGTTTATCTCGATGAAATCATTTGTATGGGTGGTGAGTTGAAGTAAGCTAGAACTTACAACTATACACAACAATGATAATCGAACCCGTAAACAGACCTCCTACTCCCGCTCCAGCGATAGCTCGGCCAACGATCAGCATATTGCTGCTCCTTGCCGTAGCGCAGAGTAAGGAGCTGCGTATTGATCTGTTAGTACGTGGGAGTGATAGCGAAAGTGGTGACTACTTACCCAAGCTCAAAGATGGCAATGGCAGTCAAGAAGGTATATTTGATCTGTCGAATCGTTAGCCAACAGCCGGTTCTTTATTTGAGAAATGCAGTGCGCACGCACGCTGAAGATAGAGTATATCCTTCCAAAACTAGGCTGCAACGCCGCTTTCGTAAGTAAGTAGCTTGATCCATACCTACAGACATCAGCAATCACTCATATATATAAACCTTAAAACATCAATCCGATGCCCAACACACAATCATCAATACACTCACCAACCAATATCTCCCGTACTTTTGAAATGATCCGTAATCTTCGGAATAGCAGTAGAAATAATCGTCTGATCCAGCGCCACCAAGAATACAGCCAAACACAGCGCCAGTATAATAGAGACCAGTTTAAGACCCTCGGGGTACTGCGGCTCGCTACTTACGCTGACTGGTTGTTCTGTCGCGGCTGGAGTAGAGTCTTTGGGGATCATACTCACAACGGGTTCTTTTTGGGAAAGCGAGTTGCGCGCCTCGGGAGTATCTATCTTTCCTCTGTCTGATGAACAAGTAGAATCAGTAGCAATGGTCACAGCCTCATCTGAGGCTTTCACGTCGCCCATTTCCATATCCAGCATAATTGCGATAGGTGCTTGCTTGCACAGCGAAATCAGTAGAGACAAATAATCGTCTCTTAGGGCTCGTTGTACTGAAAAGTAAATCTACCGCAAGCTATGTAGAAATTACTCAAAGCAATACTGTTCAATATAGTTTCACGAATTTATCGCGCACAAAAGCAATCAACACCCCAAATTGCAAAAATCCGTTTCCATGATCAGCGCGTTTCCTCTCTATCATCTAGACCAATGAGAAGCGTCTGATAAGCTTGGCATTGATCACATGAGAGTGTCTCTGACCGGCAGGTCTTGTACCAATAGCAGGCAGTACATAAGGGAGTTGTATCGTATCTCGTATCGCAAAGTCGCGCAGCCAGCTATTCCGTTCTTGTACACATCCGGCACTAGTGTAATCCTTGTCATATGCGTTGAATGCTCAAGTTAGCTGAGAGGTACCCTCGTACCCCTCGTACCCCTGTCTTCTATTCTTCTTATTCAAGAATTATATGAGAAGAATGATTGAACATTAGAAATTTTGCGATACTGAGTATTTTAAGTGTTTCCTTAATAGAATTACCTAGGAATTAAAATCTTCAAAGTATATTTTATTTTTCGAGTTTCGAGATATTATAAATTTTTGATTTCAGTATTATTAAAAAAATCGAAATCATTAAAAGTATATAAGGTGATAATAGAAAAGCTCTAATACGTGCTAATACTAATTATATTGTTTTATATATAAAATAAAAGATTCTGTTTTAAGTATGACTCTCTACAGGGAATAAGATGGGAAGCATAGGGTAGAAAGTGATGGCATTAGGAGGACTAGTATATTAAGTATATTCTTTTATTTCCGAGAGGAAGAGCTTTGTATAGGACAGAGCTCTTACTAATACTAATTGGGGTTAGTTTTTTTTGCTTTATGATTATATGAATTATATCTTTCAATACTTCTTTTTAGGTTAATCGTGGTAATCTGTTATTTCTAGTATTTCTATGAACTTCTTGAATGTATTCTTGGTTAATGGTTTCGTTAATCTATTTGTTATTATTTGTTTGTAAGAATATAGCTGATGTCAATCTTTCCTTTTTATTTGAGATTCTGTATATAATAGTATGTAATATCAATATACTTTGATTTGTTAGTTAGTTGTGTGTTCTTGATTAGGGCTATAGCTCTTTGATTGTCTTCCTTTATATCGACAGTAAATCTATTCTTTGTAATAAACTTTCTGTATTCTATATTTCAAAGTATTTGGGCTAACTATTGGCTTTGCTTTGTTATAATTTATTGTTTTTATATAAAAAAATAATATAATAATATATCTTTTTATATATATATATAGTTCTATATTCATATAGTATACTAAGAGCAAATCACAATATCACATGATCAGATCACATGATCGTCGCTTAAGAGAGCTCTTAGCCTAGAACGGCCTGAAAATCAATTCTTTATTAGCTCTTTATTAGTTCTTTCAATCCATTCGTAGTAAGATCGACATAGTACTAGCGAAATCGAATAAGGAATAAGAAAGAAAAGCTTTATTTGATGGAATGGCCGGATTAGGAAGAGATCTACGAGAAATAAACGAAAGTGGAAAGCTAGATTAGTAGGAAAAAGCATAAAATAAGGCCTTTTCCCCTCGAATATAGAAAAAGAAAATAAGAATATCATATACTGTTTCATGAAAATCACGTGTTTCATAGCTATTTAGTTGTTAATACGAGCCAGCTTCCCATAATAGACTAATATTAGTCTATTCCCTCTTATATACTATATACTCATATACTAGCTCATGACCTACGATATAATTGATTGAGTTATATACTTTAATTTAATTGTTGATATTGATACGGAGTTCTGCTTTCAATTTATTTAGAATATTAGTCCTCCTTTCAAAAGTACAACTACTTCCGATATACTTTTTCTATTAACTATATTACTAGTATAGGATGCGAAGACTCAACACCTGTACGCGGGGCATCCTACGAACCTCCAGCTCTTCTTCAAGAGTCTGCAGAACTAAGATTGAGTCGCAGATGGAATCGGAAGAATTGGAAGAAAAGGGGTTTTGGAAGATATAGGGAAGGAAGAATTATATTACGATTTTGTAACAGCGATCCCTACAAAAAGATGAATACTAACAAAGCAATATGAATACAAAGGTTATAGAAGCCCTAATCAGATTCAACATCTGCCTTTTATTACTACCTCTACAGATACAATACGGAAAGTTAACCTTTTCTCTCTTTTGGAAGAGTCTTTTCAATATAAAGCTCATCGCCGCTCTCTTCGAATTACAACCCTTTCTCTCTTTTTGACTTTCAGCCACTCGAATACGATTTTACAATATAGAGAATGCCATTACCTTTTAATTAATTCTATACTCTAGGCATCGATACGATACAATGTTTTTCCTTTGATTTTTGAATTTTCGAATTTTTCGAATTGATTTGTGTATAGATTGTAGGGCTTAGAGTTCGACTCTACCCCACCATTTTCAACAGTTTCGATTATATACATCTAATAAGGGCTGGAGGATATCAAGCTTATGAAGGTATACAAAGGGCTAGTTTAAAAGAAATAGAGTTAAAAGAAGAGTGGTGCTTTCTATTTTCATTTTACTAGCAAGAGGACCTTTTGCTATACTGGAGGCAACTCGGGAGGGGATAACTCTTGTTCCTTATAGAAGGAAGGGATAGCAAATTGGATTCCAAGTTTGAAAGAGGATTGGATATCGGGATACTTTAATAGGATTAGGGGTAGGGGAAGAAGGAAAAGGGAAAGGTCCCAGTAAATGAAGATATTATATCTCTATTTGCACTCCGAATAGAGATCGGGCAGAGCACCCCCAATATTTGTTTTTACTCCCCCCAAAATTGATCATATCTACTGTAGATATTCACTAGCATTGCTAAGCTTTTAGAGCCTAGCCGTCTTATATAGTCATGGACTGGAGCGGGACGTTAAACTAAATCAATCAATCAATCAATCAATATATTACTAGTATAATCTGCATCAAAATAAATCATTAGATTTTGAATTCTTTTTAATCCGAAATGCAGTTTATAATTGATTGTTATTTGTAAATAGTATATTATTCTTTGTAATTGATTTATATAGAATTCTACTAAATTTTTTATATATTAACTGAGCTTTTCTAAACCAAAAGCTATATCAAGTCTTGAGTATATTATTATATATATCAACATAGTACAATATAAGTCTTTATCTATATCTTAATAGTTTATATCACGAGCTTATAACAATCATATCTACGGATATCCCGAAATCATATTATACAATACATATCAGCGCAATCGCTATAGCACTCCGAACTGCTTGGCTCGAGAATACTGTCACAGCAGAATCAGAGAGGACTAGCAAGCCAGCCGTCATTTACAGAGATAGCAAGCTCCCCAATCGATCTCGATAATTGCTTCTCAATTATCACTTCAAAAAGAATGCAGATTAACAATAAAAGCGCTGGTCCTCTCTCAAGCTTGTTCGAAAGCGGCCAGAATATTATTGAAACAGCTATGAAGATAGCTATTTAGAAGAAAATCGATATACAATAAAAGCATATTGCAGACAAGACTTTAGTACTTATTAGCTTCGAGACGATCCTTGTATAGTTTGCAGTGTAATTTGCGGAACAGGATTTGAACCGATTAGCAAAAGAACTAATATACAGAGTATTAATAGCTATTACAAATAGTACAAAAAGAACCTTCAATTCAAAGCTAGTAATAGAAAGCGTAAAGCTAATTATATAAACGTATACAGGAATACTTCGAACCCCCAAAACCGCAACTGCTATTCCCTTTAGCTCAATTATAGAAGCAGGGGCTGCAAACAGGCCCAAGCGGGTAATCAGTGGAGTACCGAAATTAGAATGTATAAACAAAAGACTTTTCCTCCGATTTGACAAACAAACCAAGATGGAGTTGTCCTCATGAGGGATTAGATAGACGCTAGTAAAGATAGTCCCAAAGATTGCTACTCTAGGAGCTAGAGTTATTACAATAGTAATATTTACCTGAACTGGGTGGGTAATTATAGTTTCCCTAGAAGCCTGTATAGTCCTTTTTGCAAACAAGCAATAGGCTATAGTAGCTATTAAAGTTATAGATCTTGTGATTAGTAAGTCATAGTATATATATATAGCATTAGGGGTTCCGATAATCATTACCGATCTTCTGGGAATGCTTATAGAGATTGGGGAAAAACAAATGAAAAAAAAATCTAATATCAGATAGAACTATGTTTAGTATGGGTAACAAGATTTAAGTTCGGAGTAGATAAGCAGAATCGGATTACCTAGATATTATCCTTCCAGGAGTAGTTACCTCGTTGTAACCTATTCAATGAGATCCGAATGTTTTTAGCAAATAGAAGACAAGCCTTGGAAAGATACGACCCAGGGTGTCAGCAATACTGTGAAAACTGGAAATACAAAAGAAAAGTGGTATACAGAAAATATGTATACCCACTATCTACTCATAAGCTAACCGGGGATTGTAATCACTCAATACAATGTATAGAATGCCACGGGTCCTTTCCAGCAAACCATGACAACTGCCTTACCAAACCTCAGCGGGTGAATGGCAAGACAGTATACCCGGATCGAAAACAAATCCAGATTATTCAACAAATAGAGGAAATCAGTACTACTATCATCTCAATACCAGTAATAACAGTTCAAATACTAGTGATAATGCAAGAAAAAAAAAGGAAATCTAGAATGGATGTAGTCTTCTGATACAAAGATAATAGTAACTCGGAAAGCGATATTGGAAAAAAACAAGCAAACGATATCTCAAGAAATTCAATAGATAAAAAGCAAAATACACAAGGTCAATATATCATTTGTAGTAGAGCAATAAAGATCAACAAGAATCTCAACTTTGAAGTTCTGAGTAATCAGACTATGACTGGGGGATATGATATAATAATAGAAGATTTATATGAATAGATCGAATCCGCTATCTATTATCTAAATAAATATGCAGAAAAGCCTCACATTGTATACAGTAGCATTACAGCAAGCATTTGAGGAAAAGATTGATGTAATATATATACAAGAGCTCTAAGTATTTAATATACACACTCAAACACATAACGGATACCAATACCTGTCCCCAGTAACCTCCTAAAGAGAAAGCGGGATATGCAAGGAAGGGCAGGAATGCCTACAAATAATGATATATATCAGAACTAAGATTAGACTATAAATACTACAATTAACAGAAGAGGAGTATAGAGATTATATATAGCTTTCTATAA